TATATAAACAGAGTGAAGAAGTGTGGCTGCGTGATCCATCTATTGGCTCGTATGCTAGGAAGGGCGTAATTCATGGTAAAAGCATAGTACAAGTATCGATAAATATAAATAACAGTGAAATAGTGCTGCTGATCTCTGCGTCGTTTGTATACGGGCTTGTGCATGAACTATACTCTTCACCATCCACCTGCACATGAAGACTGCAGCAATTAACGTTACTGTGTAAGTATTGGTTAACAACCAATAGTATTGCATCTAGTATTCGTTTTTTTCATTATCAACGAATAGTATTGCACCTCATATTCGTTTATGTCTTGGTTATCAACCAATGATATTGCATCTAATATCCGTCCTGTACATATTGGTTATCCCAATAGTATAGTAGACTTCTTGGCACGGCGGGCTATTGTTGCTCCTTCTGTGCCATTGCGCACACTCAGAAAGAGTCTGGTCTGTGTGAAATCGGGGTGTGGTATAGGACACGCATATATACACTCCTGAGACCCTTCCATGTGGCAATTAGTAGGGTAAAGATACATACATACTTCATATATATATATATATATATATATATATCATATAGTATAACACACTCACACACATGCCTACCCACCGTCTCCTTTGTTACTTTTTCATACATATAGAGGCGGAGTGTGCTTATCCATACATACATATACACATAAATACATATCTATACCCGCAACAGACTCTATATAATAAAAGACACACATCTTCACACACATACCCTCCAATGTCCACGTCTCTCTCTGTGTTGTTACGTACACCCAGGCTACTCTGTGCAGGTCGGATGTGGTCTATGTAGAGACTGGGTGTGGTCGTGGGTGCAAACAGCCCATCGGCACTTGGCTTCACGTGTAGCAGATTCTGATAGTCGTTGAGTTGTTCGTCCAGATCCACACTATAATTAGAAATGGAATGCATGGGTGTACTTGTTGAGTATATATTGTGGGGTGTATACGGGGACTGTGTGTCTGTTGGTCTGAGATAGACACTGTGATTGGGTAGGTATATATTTGGTGAGTAGATTGAATGTTCGGTAGTATCGACAATATATATTGTAAT